TCTCAAGAGCTTGATTTCATACGGATTCCATTTTGTGGCTGTTATTGGGATTTAGGATACATTCTCATTCTCCCTCTCCTCTCTCATCTGTCCCAACAAAAGACAAGCTTGCAGGTCAGTGCCAGCCCGTTGGCAGCAGCTCCTAGAGGGGCGGGCGGAAATGCCTGAAAGAAAGTGGAGAACAGGGAACCTGCCAGTGCCCACAGCCATCCAGCTCCGCCCCAGGTCCCCTTTCAGCTTCAGTCTCCGGAGCCTCCCAGAACACAATCCTCATTGAAGACGCTCAGATTCAAGGAGCAATAGTCAAACGTGGTAAAACTTAGCTTTCTTACAAGGTTTAAAATACGATACCGGAAAACAAGTCCATGCTACCAAATTTATTTTGAGATGTTTATGTCTTGATTCTAAATGCTATGCCAGCACAGAAAGACAAGTAAAGCCCATTTTACTTAGTGTCGTGCACACTAAAATCTTACATAAAATTTCAGCATACAGAATGTGCCAACATGGAAATATTACCATGATCAAGAAGGACTGACTCAAGGAATGTTAGGCTGGTACCCACCCATTCATCTACCGATCTACCCTTCCATCCACCCATTCATCCACACACTCATGCATCCATCCACATAACCATCTATTTATCCACCCACCAACCCACCCATCCACCCATCTCTCCATTCATCCACCTGATGACTGGTGCATCCATCAGCCACTATGCTTACACAAGGTCCCCTTCCTAAGCTGAGCAGGACCACTCAGCTGCCATTTGCTAGGCAGGTGGCCCGAGGAAGGCTGGTGGCATCCCAAGGATGGCCTTAAAAGCATCAAGGCCCTGAGGGAGAAATGAGCTTGGCTTGTTCAAAGGACAGAAAGGCGGCAACGAGTCCTGAGCCTGGGGATGGAAAGAGAAAGTGACAAAGGCCATCTTGGAGAAAAGAGGGCATACAGGGCCTTGCAGGCCACAGTAAGGAGTTGGCATTTTATTCCAAGTGCAAATAGAAGCCACTGAGTGCTTAGGGGAAGGGGACAACTGTAATCTGATTTACATTCCAAGACCAGCTCATTAGCTGCTAGGAGAAGAAAGGACTGTGGGGGTCAGCCACAGAAGCACAGAGAGCAGTGAGGAGGCACCGCCATGGTCCAGGCTGGAGATGATAAAGCTTGGGTGGAGATGGGGAGAAGAACAGTGAGCTGGGAGGGTCTGGAAGCACAGCTTATCAGATACAGGTGGGCTGCACAGCAGGGTGGGCATGGGAGGGGCTTACGCTTCTGCAGCAAAGTGAACAAACGGAGGGGCTGTGGCTCAGATCAGAGCCCAGACAGAACAGTGCTGCAGGAGCACAGGAGTTCTATCTCCACTCTCTTTAGTCAGAGGCGCTATCCACCAGCCATCCAGGACAGCTCCATGAGAACCGGTGATGGGCGGCAAACACATCTGCCACGAGAGCACCAGAATCACCCCCATCCCCGCACCATCCCAGTCTGCAGAGAATGTCTCTGTTCACAGTGCGGGCGTCTGCTCAGGTCAACTCTTCAAAGTGGTATTATTACCGAGCCAGAAGGGGTGCCAACTGTAAGGTTTCAGTTACACGCCACCAGAGACCCCTCCAAAGAGGTTTCGCCAAATTCCCCACTTCACCAGCTGCACACTAGAATGACAGCTGCCTTCTTCCTATTCTATTCTATTCTATTCTATTCTAATTTTATTTTATTTTTGTGAGGAAGATCAGCCCTGAGCTAACATCCATGCTAATCCTCCTCTTTTTGCTGAGGAAGACCGGCCCTGAGCTAATATCTATTGCCAATCCTCCTCCTTTTTTTTCCATCAAAGCCCCAGTAGATAGTTGTATGTCATAGTTGCACATCCTTCTAGTTGCTATATGTGGGACGCGGCCTCAGCATGGCCAGAGAAGCGGTGCATCGGTGCATGCCCGGGATCCGAACCCGGGCCGCCAGTAGCGGAGCACGTGCACTTAATTGCTAAGCCACGGGGCCGGCCCCTTCCTTTTATTTTAAATGCTTGCTCATCAGCTCGACAATGGAATGGCTCTTCCCAAAGACAGCTGACGTAGCAGACAAAATTGGCTAGTAAAAGGTATAAGAGAGAAGCAGAGACATTTCTCCCAGGGTTATGGACTAATTGTACCCTCTCCCCCAATCCATATGTTGAAGTTCTAATCTCCAGGACCTCAGAATGTGACTGTATTTGGAGACAGTCTTTAAAGAGGTGATTAAGGTAAAATGAGGTCATCAGGGGGAACCCTAATCCAATCTGACTGGTGCTCTTATAAAGAAGGAGATGAGAACACAGACACACACAGAGGGAAGACCACGTAAGGACACAGGGAGAAATTGGCCATCTGAAGTCACAGAGAGAGGCCTTGGGAGAAACCAATCCTGCTGACACCCTGATCTTGGACTTCTGGCCTCCAGAACTATGAGAAAATAACTTTCTGTTGTTGATGCCACCTAGTTTCTGGTATTTTGTTATGGCGGCCCAAGCAAACTGCCACACCCAGCTTTCAGGGTACCCCAAGTCAGTGAGGGAGAATGTTTGCAGGAAGCGGACTCCTGTTGGTCATAATGACTGAGCTTGGAGATTTGGTGCAAAACCTCTGAAAACAGTGGGAGCTGGTGGGTTAAGACAGTCAGAATGGGTAAGGTGGGCTGCTCACAATGGGAAAAGCTGGAGGTAACCACATACTTCTGGATTTCTTCCCTTGGGTTTGGGTTTATTTTAGCTCAAATACCACCTGTCTTCCCCATAGCCCAGCCAGAAGTCACCTCGCCCTCTTTCTGTCAACATTCTGAAGCACCACGTAACGTTTTACAAAAATTACAATTACGTGTCATCAGTTCATTGGTCAGTATGGGTGTCTCCCCTTCCCTCCTACACTGTAAGGACCTTTGGGGGTAGAACCTTTGTCCTACTGTCTTCATATAGAACACGGCATCTTGAACCTCACAAAAATGTTCTCAATTTGATTCGCATGAATAATAATTCTTATCCTGACGCTCTTCTGTCATCCCAACAAATTACAACAAAAAACATTTTTCATTATGCAGCGGTTTATATTTAAAATAATTCTTCATATTATACTTACATCAATTTACATTCTTTACACAGACAAGTTTACAATACTTTAAACTTATGCAAAATATTGTGTGTCTTTAAATCTTTGCATTACAGATTTTGTTTTCAGTGAGCATACGACAGTCCTTTGCCTGAATTTTCCTTTCTTTTATTCTCAAATTTAATGTTTCAAGTGCACCATGACTTACCAATACTTCAGAAAATAAACATTCTCTGTAAGAAGTTGAGAACGGCTTTTCAACAGTCCTATTCTAGAGTTTCATTTGAGCCTCACCACTCTTTAAAAACGCACACAACAATTCTGAAAATTGCTGGGTTTGTAGCCCAAAAGTAGAAAGCTTCTGGAACTAATTTCTTCAGAGCGGTTCCGCAGTCTGCGGGAAGACATGGCCATGATAAACGAGGCATGGGGCCCTCCCCTCCTCCTCTCGACCCTTTCACTATTGAGAGTGCCATCTACAACACAACACACAATCTGTACATTATAGCTATTCAATCTGACTCTGTTAACAGCAGAGGAGCAAAACTCCAACCACCACCTGACCCCTCTGCAGCTTAAATTAAACGCTTAGGGCTCAGGTGCAGGAGCCACGCCAGAGCCCGAGTGTGTGTGCAGGACGCATGGAGCGCCCCTGTCCGCACTGCAGTGCGGCACGCCCTCTCAACCGCAGCAGGGCCCGGAAGCGGGCTTTGAACAAAGCTTACAGCTGGTGCTCGGCACGTGACTTGCTCGGAATCTGTAGTAATAAAGCTATAACTGTGCTTCTCAGACACTGCGAACTTTTGTAGGTGTACTATTCACCCATCTTTCTGTCTCACCCAGGGGTTCTCACTCTTAGCCATGCAGACTGTTAAGTAATTGCAGCGACTTCCTACACAAGCATACACAAACTACCACTCCTGTTCCTGAGAGCCAGCTAAATATGTGATCCTCGCCTATAAGGCGAAAAGCACTCAGTTTAAAGCCAAATGAAATAAAACTCCATTACACAAGGCTCTCAAAAGCAAACATTTAAATTGGTTATTTCTGCAACAGAACCTTGAATTTTGAGGTTAGCGTTTAATTTGAATATCGCACCAATTACCGGAGATTCTCAGGGCAACAGAAAAATTTGCACTTCATGACCCTATTGCGCACGTATTTATTTCCATCCCTCCACCAGCCCTTTTAAAATAGTTCTGCCACAGCTCCTACATGATCTTTACTCTCTTCTTCCATCCTCCTCATGTGGCAAGGGCGAGACGACACGATCTATTTAATCTAAATTCCACTCTCGTTTAACAGCTACACTCGCCACGTTTTAGGATTATGGCACACAACACTGTAATACACTGCGGCCCCCCCACAGTTCTTTCAGATGCTCTGATCCTCTCTTGGGGAGCCAACCGACTCGATTTCTATTTTAAAGCTCAAAATTAACTCATTAAATAAGTCCAATTCAGAAAGGCTTGCCCTATTCCTTTTGACTGACAATCCTTCCAGGCAACTCCGACTTGGAGACCATGGCCCAGCACCCCAGCTGCAAGCTGGGTGGTTAAAGCATCTCTTCAGTCAGGCTTTCTGGAAAAAGCATTCCATTCAAGCACGTGAGCCTGGAGTTCTCATCCCGTCAATATAAAGAACCTCACTGTATGGAAAACATAGCAGCCATTTTAAGAACCAAAAATGCCACGATGGCATTAGAAGGCGTCACCGCCCTTGGGCTGCTTCTCCCGGCAGCGGTGCGGGGCCAGGGGCATGGTCATCTGCAGACAAGGATGCCGGAAATCACGCCCGGTTAGCAGCCACTTTGGTTTTGGCCAAAACCAAATGCCTGACCATGTTAACCAAGCATTAACCCACCATAAAGAAGCTCACGCCCAGGACATCTTCTTAGTAACCCCAAATCCAAAATTCACCCACCTTGAGGTGGGACGTCCCTCCTCAGCCCAGACCGTGGAGGAAACTTCTCTGTGCTCACCAGGGTCCTCTGCTTGTCGTCGTGGTTCGACCGAAGCTTCCTGCCAAGGGCAGCACAATGAGACACCAAGTCATCAAGCTGCCTTCTTCAAGACATCTATTATTATGAACCCCCTCATTGTGGGTTCGCCTTGCGAGCCTGTACCACAAAGGCAATGACGCAGCCTGCTGTCTCCTACCAACACTCAGCCACGGGACTGGCGAGCTCAGCTCCCCAAAGTGTTTCACCGAAAAGACTCGACTAGACCGTGCGTCCACTTCAGCTCTGGGCAGGAAGCAGAACTCCCACGTCAGGTCTGAAAAACCGTGTGACACGATTGGCCAAAAAAACCAAATCAAATACAGCTGGTTACAACTCACTGTGGCAAAGCCTCGAGCCCCAGGACTTGACAGAGTCTGGGATTCTTCTCTCCTGACTGAGCGAGCATGGAATTCTCCGAGGTCATGCCACACAGTCCGAGGGCCAGGGCAGGGCCATGGCAGAAACAAACGCTCGCAGTGTCTGCACGGCCGTTCAGCAGCAGCACGCCACGGAGAAAAGGGCAGCTCTCTTTACACGCACATATTGAACAGCGTGTATTAAACCTACTACTGGTTCTTTTTAAAAGAAACTGCATCTGTTATTGCAAGAATTTTTTTCTTTAAAGTATACAAATGCAGATTTAAAAGGCAGAAAAAGCAGGGAGAGGGAGAGCGAGACCGGCTGTTGACTTTGAAGTTTGGATATAAATATGTAGTTTTCTAGAAAGCTTGAAGTCAACTTTTACCACCAAAACTCTTGCCTTAAAAAAAAGTGCAACAGGGCCGGCCCTGTGGCTTGGTGGTTAAGTGCGCCCGCTACGATGCTGGCGGCCCGGGTTCGGATCCCGGGTGCGCATCGAGGCACCACTTCTCTGTCCATCCTGAGGCCGAGTCCCACATACAGCAACTAGAAGGGTGTGCAGCTATGGCATACAACTATCTACTGGGGCTTTGGGGGCAAAAAATAAAATAAATAAAATCTTTAAAAAAACAAAAACAAACAAAAAAAAAAGTGCAACAGTTTAATTCATTGCATTTTTAAACTACATTTGCCCCAGAGCAATCTTGAAAAAATTTGCAAAAAAAAGGACTACTAAAAAGACTACTAAAAATATTAAATGATATTGATATTTGAAAAGTGGCTATCATATGTTGTCTTGAGCCTTTACATAAAGCATACCTTTTCATTTCAGAGGAGAACATAACATCTTCTATAGTTTCCCCTAAGTTCTTTGCTTGGTATTAATGTAGGGACAAGCCAATCAAGGGGAAAGACAGATGAAGCAAGAGACGACGATGAGGAGGCTGGGAACTCAAGGCGCGGGTGAACATATGGCACTTAAGTTACCGTGATGTATCAGTGCTGTCCCCGGGTAACTTTCACAAATGTGACATTAGAAGAGCTGGTGCATTTAAATGCTCAAACAACTGGACACAACTCACACGGACACTGAGCCATTATATTTGGGGGTGTCTAATACGTGCCTTAAGACAGTGGTCAGGGGGTGGGCTTCTTCTTGCCCGCGACGCACTGCTCACCTGTTTGTAGAGGTCTGTGGACGGCGACGACCGGGACCTTTCGTGAATGTACTGCGGCCTCTCGTGCTGGTCCAGACCTGCATCCAGGATGTCATCCGCTGAGTGATACCTCCCCGAACTCCTGGCTTCCAGGGCTTTCCTCTGTTCCCTCCAAGAGGCTTGATACTCTGCAAAGGTTCCGAGCCTCTGAGAAGGTTCTGATTTCCCCACCTTCCCCGCTTTTCTGTGACTGCTGAGGTTTTCTCCAAAGGAGGTCATGTGGGCCCTCTTCTGGAAGCAAGGCTCTGTGCCCTCGCACCCGTGGCCTGCCATCTGTGGCCTCTCCAGCTTCTCTTTTGGGAATCCACAAAGCGCTTGCCTCTGCCTAGGCCCCTGCTGAACGGGTCTGCTCGTCTCCTCAAAAAACTTCCACCTGTCGGCAAACGTGCCCACGGTCTCCTGGGAGGTACCGGGGTGCTGGGGCGGGCGGTGATCCCCGGAGAGCCCCACCTCGTGCATCTTCTCCGGTTCCGAGTACGATTTCAGTTTCTGCTCCACCGTGAACCGTCTCCGGCCCCCGACGCGGGGACCATGTGGCATGCCACCTCCGGACGATGGCAGCTTGGCCAGGCCCGCCTCCCAGAAGCAGGGGACAGGGTTGGGTTCCGTGCCGTCGTCTGGTGACCCTGCATAATGGTCAGCCGGGCTGGGGTCCAAGTCACGGCGCTTAAACGACGTGGCCCTCAGGACCCGGGCTTGAGCCTCCTTCACGTGGTCTTTATAGGTGCCCGGGAAAGAACCTTCCGGGGTGGCGCCGGCGGCCCGGCCCAGCTCCGCCCTCGATCCGCAGGCGTCTTCCTCCCCCTCGCTGGTGCCAGTCAGGGTCACCGTGCTTTTGCTTTTCTGCAGCGTGGCTCGTCGCATCTGGATCTCGTTCCTCAGAGTGGTGGCGAACCGGTCACTTCTCCGTGTGGGTTTGCCCACCTGGGCATCGAAGGCTGGCAGCCTCTCCGTGCCGCCCTCTCGGCCCTCCTGGGGCCGCTGGGTCCCCTCCTGGGCCAGCGAATGCAGCAGGGGCGTCTGGTGAGGGGAGATCTTGCTGCTTTCTCCCTCAGCCCACTTGACGCCATCTGTGACTTTTTTCGGGCCGGCTTTCGCCACGTGGCCACCTCTTTGTAGCTCCTTGACTCCCGTGCAGCGGCCCTCTGCCCCTCTGTCCACGGGGTCCCCCCTTTCCCTCTCAGGGGCGCCCCAGGGCCCCTCGTGTGGAGGCAGGCAGCCCCGGGGCTTTGGGCCCAGTGGCTGTGTGGCAGGATACTGGGGAGCACCTGGAGCTGGGTCAGAATGCCAATATTCCCCTCGCAGCTGCATGGCCTGGGCACCCCCCGGAAGGCACTGTCTCGTGGGCACACATGAGTAGCAGCTCTGCCCGCCACCGTCCCCCTTCTGGTCGGCAGCACTGGGCCACCTGACATGAGTGGGGCTGTCGTCCTGGAAGCAGTCAGCAGAGGGCTCCTGGCGGCCCCCAGTGAGAGCTACACGGGGCTGCTCCCTCAGCGACACAGCGGCCCTGGGGCCCTCGTGCAAGAAGGGACTCTCGTCACTGTATTGGCGTGGGTGCTGGCACCCGTAGGAAGGCTGTGGGAAACGCACGTCCGTGCTGGACAGAGAGGCCTGAAGCCGGCTGGGGGCCCCGTAGTCAGAGGACGGCCACCCGCAGTCCAGGTGGACATCCAGGGCACAGCCCGAGCTCCCGGGTCTCCTTCCGTCGGAGGGGCGCGTCAGCCTTCGCTGCTGATCGGCAGGGTCTGGTCTCCAGTCGCTGCAGGGCTGAGCCCAGGTCAGGCCTGGAAAGTGCTGCATGTCAGCCACCTCTGAGAACGGGGGGCCCTGGGCCTTCTCGTGGCTCTTGGTGGCAGCAAAGCTGTCACTGCGGAGAGGGGGAGGCGGTGGGGGAGGGGAGGAAGGTGCTTTTTTCTTCTCGGGAACATACCAGACTGGCCCCAAACTGGACCTCCCAGAAGTGGCCAGCTTGGGCTCAGGACTGTCATCTGGCCTGGGGCTTTTGCTGCTGTCACAGGGGACCCTGGAAGGGAAATACCCAAACCTTTCCTCTGGGCCCTGAGGGTCGCCGGCAGCCTGGCCCTGCCGGCTGCTGCCCGGCTTGGAGGCCTCCCAGAGGCCCACTTTGTAGAGGAGGTTCTCCGTGGAGGAGGCATCGGCCTTGGGCAAGGTGTGGTCAGGTGTGCTGGAGCTGGTGGAGAATGAGCCGTACGCCGAGTCGCGCTGGTTTGGGCCGCCCAGGCGGTCGATGCTGCTGTTGGACTTGGCGGCGGAGAGGCGTCCGGAGGGGTAGGGCTGGGAAGGGTGGTCTAGGCTGTCGACGCTGCCCAGGGAGCTGAAATGGTCAGAGGTGCGTTGCAGGTTGGTCTGCTCCCACGCGCCCGACAGGTCATGGGAGGAAGAACTAGGAAACGAGAAGAACCACAGGGAACAGCTTGCTTTAGAACGGAGTTATAGCAAAGGGAAAGACACAACAAAACTGCAGCTGGCCCCATGCAGAAACATCACGATGCTGGCTGTAATAACTCTTCCCGGAACGGGATCCCTGGACCTGAAGGGTGACCTCAGCGCACCTAAATTTCAGCATTTCAAAGAGCAACTTTCTGAGGACAGGCTGAAAGGACCAAGTCTGACTCATGTGATGCCTTTTCGCACACAGAGACCTTCAAATGCTCAGTACCTTTCTCACCCCAGCGCCCACAGGCTGGTCAAAGCCCACAGCGGTCACCAGACAGCATGCCCGTGTGAACGCTTATCGTCAACCACTAGTTAAGTGTGGCCGTTGCCAAACTGCAGCCCATGAGCTAAGAACAGTTTTTAGATTTTTTAATGGTGGGGGTGGTGTCAAAAGAATACTATTTCATGACCCATGAAAATGATATGAAATTCAAATTTCAGTGTTCATAAATAAAGTTTGATCAGAACACAGTCACGGCCCTTTGTTTACACACACTTTGTGGCTGCTTTCGAGCTCCAACGGCAGAGTTGAGTTGCTGCAACAGACACTGGCCCGCAGAGCCTGAAATATTTACTGTCCAGCCCTTCACAGAACAAGTTCACAGACCCCTGATTCAGTGTATGAAATGATTCTTATTGTGGATTATTAACACAAAAGAGGCAATCAAATGAGAGCGATTTTCAAATTAAAAGGAAAACTTCAGAGCCAGCCCTGATGGCCTAGTGGTTAAATTTCAGCGCACTCTGCTTTGGCGGCCCAGGTTTGGTTCCCGGTCGTGAAACCACACCACTCGTCCATCAGTTGCCATGCTATGGCGGCAGCTCACATAGAAGAACTATAATGACTTACAACTAGGATATACAACCATGCACTGAGGTTTGGGGGAGGGGGGAAAAAAAAAAAGAAGATTTGCAACAGATGTTAGCTCAGGGCGAATCTTTCCCTCCAGAAAAGAAAAAAAAGGAAAAATTCAGGGATAACATTACTTTTCCAAACGCAAATACGAAAGTATTGCTAGCTCCTCGCTCAACTCCCAGTCAATGGCGTGTGTGACACATAACCCAAGAGACAGGCTTTATCAGCAAGATGAATGCTGCTGTGTTCAGGCGACTTATTAAACCTTCAGAGTTCACTGGAGCTGGACACAGACACCGAAAATACAGGTTCATAACTAGGATGGTGTCTAAGAGGAGGAAATAAAAAATCAGGTTTATTACAACAAGCCAGGTGATACACTGTTAATTAAGGCACATGTGAGCCTGAGAGCTCTCAACGGTGAAACTATTTATCCAGTCATGTTAAATGCTTTCATGAAAGCTCAATAAAGCTGGAATATTCATGCTTCAAGGAAAAAAACAAATTGTGGCTACTTTATGTTTGGGGAGAATCAAGACGAGAAAGAAAAATGTGAGACCAGGGCAAGGACACAGGACAGTGAACTGGCTAACTCATCTGAGGGAGGAAGATGACCGTTTGGGTTTTACACCATTTCCTTTGAGGACAGAGCAGGTACCCTTCTCAGAAACGGAGGACATTCCTCTCATCTTCCCACCAATATTTCTGTGGTGCTTCTCCCATGAGATCCTAATTCCAAGCAGATATAAATAATGCTAAGCACTCTTTCCACACAGATGTGGGCAGCATGTGTGTTTCTTTAATCAAGAAACTGCCAAATGGCCTTAATGGAGATCCTATTACATTAAGTCACTTCAGTAATGAAATAAAAGGCCCACTTTTCACTTAAGTTTTACCACTCAGTTGAGAATCTGTGGTTTTTCAAAAATACCCTGGGCTCCAAATACCATTATCTCTTGTCACTTTAAATAGGTAATACTGGAGACGTATTTCCTTCCCAGCACATAAATCCTTTACTTGGCAATTATGCAGCAGACTAGTATTTACTAACAGCCAAAAATTGTTTTTGAGATGGTTATGTTAGCTCCACACACACATATACAAGCACAAACATGCTTACATAGATACACATGCAGACACACATTCAAGCACGCACAAACACACATGCATACACTCACATAGATACATGTGCACACTCATACACACACACCACAAATGCGCAGATACACATGCATGCACTCACACAGATACACATACACACGCACACATGCACTTGCACACACACACACCAAAACCACATTATGTGTTGTTACCATCACCCTTCTAACAGGAGACTAGTGAAGACACTGGCCACTAATCTGAAGAGACCAGTCAGCACCCTGTGACTAGCAGGAGCCTCACTAAGCCAACACCCCCATGGTGCTGTCACATGCTCAGCTGGTAGTAGCCCTTCTGCCCTGAAACATGGGCTCCAGGTAGGCCAGGTCGACCAGCACTCCCCCTTCCACCGACCCACAACTCCCACCTCCTCCATCTCATGCTGGGTGGGAAACCACTACAGGGCCCCCAAAGCTGGTCACAACCCCAGCATGTGGGCTGCGAAGCCCCCTGGTTTCCTCTATGCCTCCATGGCAGCCCCCTGGGGGTTGGGGAGAGGGTGCTGATGCTTCACAGAATTGCCTGGCGAGCTGTTGCAAAATACACCTGCCAGACCCATAAATAGCTCCTTCCTTCCAATCTGCACATAAAAATCTCAAAAGAAGGGTGGTGGCTGTGGGCATGTGAGTGGCATGGATAGCCGTCCCACTCGGCTCAGAACCACCAACTCAGCCAGCCCAAAGGGACTCAGCCAAAAAAAGTAAGTTCCCAGGCTCCTGACTTATCAATTAAACAACCTAAAAAAGGAAGCACCACTTCTTCATCCTTTCTCTTATGTTTTATGTTTTGTTTCTAAGTATTGTACACCTGCCTACTCAGTGAAAAAAAATTTGAGTCCTTCAAGTTATGCTGTGTCAATGGCCTTTTCTCATCCGAAAACCAAAATCATTCTAAAGTCAAGAAAGGTGCTATCATGACAGGACTGGGAAGTTACGAATGTTTGCAGAATGTCAAATGAACTTCCCGTCCCAGCGGGAAACAAGCGCCTACCTCGTGTGGTGTCGGCCGTGCCAAGAAGGGCAGACACCGGCGGATGAGAACTGAGATGCTGATGTCTCGGGGTGGCTCTCGGAGAATTTGGTGGCGTGCCAGGAGTGAGGCCTCCAGCTCAGCTCATTCCTCCTGAAAAAGAATGCAGACGACTCAGGGACCGCACACAAAGGAAAACTCGGTGCCAAAACAGGAGCAAGAGACAGAAATAAGTCATGGCTACTGCTGCATGATTTATAGCATCGCTTTCAGATGGTTTCCACTGCATCTGGGCACAAGCACTCTTGACGTTTTTGTTAATGGAGAACTTACCCTGGTGCAGAATGAGAATCACAGGCTCCAAAACGTGAACCATAGCCTTCAAAATTTATTCTAAATAAGTAAATCAATCTTGCCCTCCTCACCAATAAGACAACAGAATCTTCTATCCTTCCTGTCTCGGCATAGCTTTGCACAGGGCCCTCAGCCTCCTCAAGGAGAAGGCACTGTGCTGGAGAAAAGCTCCATGAGTCCCCACCTCAGCTGAGTCACAGAGTTTAGACAGCTTCTTTCTGTTGATCCACTCGCTTAACCAAGTAAATATGGCTATTGGGTAATTAACTAAGACTAGTAGCCGGATATGCCTCTGAGCCTCTCAGAGTGTATGTGAAGTCAACTAAGGGTCCCCATCATATGAAGCACAACATCCTAGACCAACAGGCTCCAGCCTGTTGGTGCCAGGGCTTCTCAACGTGGTACAAACCTTCCCAGCTCCCTCTCCACAGACCCTGCCATCTCGCGGGTGGCTTATTAGTCTTTTTGCCCCACCTGCCCAGGTGTGATAATGCTAAGTCCAGTTGGAAATCCCTACAGCTGCTGTGTAAATCTAACAGAGCCTCCAGGAGAATGCAGCCATGTGAGGAGACTCACCCGCACTCGCCTCTCCTATTGTCACTTCTTCATTTTAGGACAGAACTAGCCTCAGTGTGGACAGCTGACAGCCCAATCCAGAATGGAGAAGAGCCCAATTGAGCCTCTTCACATACTTGATGGAGATGAAACATTCTTCCAGGCAGGCAAAAATATTAAAGATTATGATGCAATAAAGACTACTAAAGAAAAACCGAAAAATATTTACATCATAAAACTTCTGACAACTCAGATAATTAACAACGAAAAATCCATGGGTGGCAAAATGTGGAATGTGTTGACTTTATGATAGTTTTCCAGGAACTAAAGTATAAACAGGTGAATTCATCACACGCCAGAGGTAAAGGGATTGTAAAACCAAGACTGTACCTCATAGAGTTTCTCAAAATCCTCGTAAGGAAGGTTCTGGCCACGTAAATTTCATTTGCAGATGGCTTTTTCTGTGCTATAATATCCACAGCTTCTTTCATCTTCCTTTAGAGTTAATTAATGAAGGGAATAAACTAGACTGATTGAAACTGGAAGCAAAGGAAAAAAAGAAGACTTGGAAAAGAAAATGCCAGGGAATGACGTCAGTGACATGGCAGAGTGAGCTGTTCCCCTTATCTCTCCCCCTTTGAACTACAACAAAATGGACATTTACTGACGAATGGAGGATACCTACACAGCACAACAGGACACCTGAGAGACGAACGCAGCTAAACATCTGAAGGTGGATGGACTGGGTCCAGGGGAAGTAGTGGAGATAGGTTAGCACTCCCCTACCCTTCCCCAGCAGGCCTGTGAGTGCACGCAAACACTTTCTCAGCTGGTGGGAACGCACACAGTGCTGCTGTGGTCCCACAACGGGGAATGCATCTTGGTACAAATGAAAGAAGAGGTGGCAGCAGCCCTGAGCCAATGCACAAATGCTTTCCCAGCCAGCGAGAGAGCCCACCATACCACGGCAGTCCCAACGAATGGCCCAGGCTCGGACCCCGCCAAGAAGCCCCGCCCATCAAGCACAGTGGCCAGCACGACTGTAAGAAGAGGCAGCAGCCTCTTCTACGTGTGTGCGAGAATGCTTTCCTGGCCGGTGGGTGTGCCCATAGTACCACTGTGGCCCCACAAGTGGGAACACACCTCAGCATGACTGTAAGAAGAGGCGGCGCAGCCCTGAGCCCACACGCAAATGCTTTCCTGGCCAGCGGGAGTGCCCACCGTACCCCCACAACTTCCACCAGACGGGGTGGGATCAGAACTACAACTCCTGCTTCCCCCCAGCAGCAGCAGGTAGAATCTGCGACCTGATACTACCACAAATGTGCCAGCAAAGGATTAGTTCATCAAATACCATGAGAAACTAGAGCAACAAGGAAAGTGACAACAACTCAGAGCACAAGGAAAGTGACAAGTCTCCAGAAACCAACTCTGAAGTCACAGAAATTTACAATCTAAATGACAGAGAATTCAAAACAGCTGTTATAAAGAAATTCAACGAGGTACAAGAAAACTCAGACATTTCAATGAGCTCAGAAATAAAATTAATGAGCAGAAGGAATACTTCACCAAAGAGATTGAAACTATAACAAAGAAAAACAAGCAGAGATTCTGGATATGAAGAACACAATCAATGACATAAAAAGTAATCTAGAATCCTTAAAAAATAAAGCTGACATTATGGAGGAAAGAATTAGTGAATTAGAGGACAGAAATATAGAAATGCTTCAGGTGGAGGAGGAGAGAGAACTAAGATTTTTTAAAAAATAAAGGAATTCTTTGAGAAATATCAGACTCAACTAGGAAAAGCAACATAAGGATTATAGGTATTCCAGAGGGAGAAGAGAGGGATAAAGGAGAAGACAGCTTGTTCAAAGAAATAATAGCTGAAAACTTGCCAAACCTGGGGAAGGAACTGGACTTACAAATACATGACCCAATAGAACTCCTAATTACATCAATGCTAAAAGACCTTTGCCAAGGAATGTAATAGTAAAACTGGCAAAAGTCAACAACAAATAAAAACTATTAAGGGCAGCAAGGCAGAAGAAAATAACCTACAAAGGAACCCCTATTAGGCTGTCAGTGGATTTCTTGGCAGAAACCTCACAAGCTAGGAGAGAATGGAATGATATCTTCAAAATACTGAAAGACAGAAACTTTCAGCCAAGAATACTCTATCCAGCAAAATTATCCTTCAGATGCAAGGGAGAAATAAAAGCTTTCCCAAATAAACAAAAGATGAGGGAGTTCATAGCCACTAGACCTCCCCTACAAGAAATTGTCAAGGATGCCGTCACACCTGAAAGAAAAAGGCAAAGGTTTACAAAGATTTGAGCAAGGAGATAAATAGACAGACAAAATCAGAAAACTGAAGCTCTCTTTCAGAACAGGTTAGCAAACACTTAATTATAACTTAAAAGATAAAGGGAAGGAAAGCATCAAAAGTAAACATAAACACTTCAACTTAGTCACAAACTCACAACACAAAACAGAATAATTTGTGACAACAATAACTCAGAAGGGGAAGAGGAAAGAGATGAACCTGCTTTGGCTAATGGAGATAAGAAGCTATCAGAAAATGGACTATCTCATCTATGAGATCTTTTATACAAACCTCACAGCAACCACTAAACAAAAAAATAAGAGCAGGACCACAATTCATAAAAAAAGACAAAACTGAGAAAACCACCAAACTAAAAGGGCAGTCAGAAATACAAAGGAAGAGAAACAATGGAAATATAGAACTGGAAAACAAGAGATAAAATGGTACTATTAAGCCCTCATATATTAATAATCACTCCAAACGTAAATGGATTAATTCTCCAATCAAAAGACACAGAGTGGGTGGATGGATTAAAAAACAAAACCCAACAATATGTTGCCTCCAGGAAACACATCTCAGCTCTAAAGACAAACACAGGCTCAGAGTGAAGGGATGGAAGACGATACTCCAAGCAAATGGCAAACAAAAGAAAGCAGGTGTTGCCATACTTATATCAGAGAAAGCAGACTTCAAGATAAAAAAGACAATGAGAGGGGGTGGCCTGGCGGCATAGTGGTTAAGTTCACGTGCTCCACTTTGGTGGCCTGGGGTTCGCAGGTTTGGATCCCCGGCGTGGACCTGGGCACTGCTTGTGGCAGGCATCCCACACATAAAGGAGAGGAAGATAGGCACGGATGTTAGCCCAGGGCCAATCTTCCTCAGCAAAAAGAGGAGGATTGGCAACAGATGTTAGCTCAGGGCTAATCTTCCTCACCAAAAAAAAGGACAATGAGAGACAAAGAGGGGCAGTATATAATGATAAAAGGGATTTTCCACCAAGAGGAGATAACACCTATGAATATATAGGCACCTAACACAGGAGCATCAAAGTATATAAAGCAACTATTAAGAGACCTAAAGGGAGAAATTAACAGCAACACAATAATAGTAGCGGACCTCAACACCCCACTTACATCAATGGATAGACCATCCAGACAAAAAGTCAATAAGGAAATAGTGGATTTAAATGAAACACTTGATTAGATGGACTTAACAGATGCATATAGAGTATTCAATCCAAAATCAGCAGAATACACATTCTTCTCAAGTGCACAGGGAACAATCTCAAAGATAGACCATGTGTTGGGAGACAAGGCAATCCTCAATAAATTTAAGAAGAGTGAAATCACATGCAGCATCTTTTCTGACCAAAATGCTCCGAAACTAGAAATCAACTACAAGAAAAAAGCTGGGAAAGTCACAAACATACGGAGACTAAACAGCATGCCACTGAAAAACTATTGGATCAATGAAGAAATCAAAGGAGAAATTAAAAAATACCTGGAGACAAATAAAAATGAAAATACATAATATCAACTCTGATGGGATGCAGCAAAAGCGGTTATAAGAGGGAAATTCATAGCATTACAGGGTCACCTTAACAAACCGGAAAATCACAAATAAGTAATCTTAAACTATATCTAACAGAACTACAAAAAGAACAAACAAAGCCCAAAATCAGCAGAAAGAGGGAAATAATAAAAATTAGAGCAGAAATAAATGAAATAGAAAATTAAAAAACAGTAGAGAGGATTTGAAACTAAGAGCTGGTTCTTTGAGAAGATAAACAAAATTGACAAACACTTAGCCAGACTCACTAAGAAAAAAAGAGAAGCCTCAAATAAATAAAATTAGAAATGAAAGAGGAGAAATTGTAACAGATACCACAGAAATACAAAGGATTACAAGAAAATACTAT